TGAAGCATCGGTAAGTTGTTAGTATTAATAGTTGGGATACTGTTACGTAACAATATGTTATTTTTTATTCCATGTATTGGTTGTTATCTGACTGCACTGCCAGCCTATGTGTAAATCAGTCTCTGAGTTCTACAGCTTCGGTTGTCCTGTGACAGTTGTGACTGGAGAATATACAAGCTTTTCAAGTGAAATAGAAGAAACAGTTTCAACAACATTTTTTAAAAAAATGCAGCTTAAAAGCTATGAAACAGTCTGTATGCATAATTACCTTTTCCCAAAGCCTGACTACTCCCTGGACCAGGAAGGGCCCTTCTCTTTCATACTGTCTTGAGACACTGCGACGTGCCATCTCATCTCCTCTACACCCTGCCCTGATGATTACTGCCTGGTCTGAAGAGTCAAAACCACTGCTAATTGACAGGCAACTTGCCTGTTTAGGCTATCCACCCTGCTGCCATCACAGTGGTTTAGTGCTGTAGCTGTTTCGCTACCATGAGCAGAAAGTTGAAAAGCTGCCAATTCACTGCATTTTGGTTCTGAAAAATGCCACAGAAAGAAAGAAATTGCAGTCTCTCCTGAGCTTGGGTGGAGCTAATGTGCTGGAGGAGAAAGTCCTAGGAGCCTGGCTCCTGCTGCAGTGGCATTAATGAGAATAACAATAGGGTAGAGGAAGGGCCAAGTGTATTGTATGCAAATTGAAAACTAGTGACACTGATTATGTCCAGACGTGGTATGTGCAAATATAACACTGCCAACCCCACTTCCCTCCTGCACTATGCCCTGCCCTAAGCAGGGACTTAGCAAATTTGCAAGAAAGAAATTCCTCTGAGACTAGAGTATGACAATTTTAAATCAAGAGTACTCAGGTGATATTGCTAGCGACTAGCAATCGGTGTGAACAGCCACTGCTACCAACTATTACTTGTGGTGGAGAGGGTAAGATGCAATTCACTGCAGCAGTTCATTCCAAGTTTGAGTTAGCTGCATCCCCCATGAATGATCCAATAACTGCTGGCCAGAGTAAGATGTCTTGGGCAAGTGCTTTTGCTCAAGAGGTTCATACAGAACAGTGGAGTCAAGACCTACTGACCTCTGCACTTTCAAACTCATCTTTATTTGGTTTCTCAGCTTGAAGAGTCACTGCAAATTTTCTGGCCCCAGTCTGGGTCGTGTGTTTCCAGGACAACTTTGTTTTCAAATGCAATTTAGAACGAGCAAAGTGCTGCCCGACAGAGATGGAAAGAGCGAGCAGTGAGTTCTGCCACAGGAAATAGAATTTCCTAGTGTCACATTAGAAAAAAATGATGAGTAGGAAGACAAACCTCAAAACAAATCTAAAAAAAAATTAACCTCGGTGGGCAGGAGTGGCGGGTGTGTAAGAATCAGGTACCACCTAAAGAGGTAATGACAAAAAAGGAAGACGGATATTTCATAGAATCATAGAAACATAGAATCGTTTAGGTTGGTTTCACCCATTTAAAAGCTATAACTGATCAATATTTCACCTACGTATGTTCCCATTTTTGGGTCACTACTGTTGGTCAACAGGTACAGTATGTCACAGACCAAATTTATCAAAAAGATGTAGAAAAATACAAAGCCTTACTCTAGCTATCAAAAGGCAATTGCTGGGTCTTAGTTTCGTATATAATCCATGTGAATGACTACCCATTTCGAAGCTGAGACTGTTTCAAAAATGAATTATCTGCCTCTGTGTGGAACGTTGTCCACACTTCAGTGAATCTATTGAATGTTACTGTGACTGACTGCATGAAGTTAAATAACGGAGATTTCACTTTGTAAAGGATACAAATTGACATAAAGATAAGACCAGGAATAATTCCCACGCTTCTTGACGTAATGATGGGGAAGCTATCCTTTAGAGAGTGTCTGCTGCTTGGCCCTGTTTAGTAAATTTGTCCCAGCTGTGAAATTGCAAGTTCTAAATCTGCAAGTTCTTGGCCAAGAGGCATGGATGAAGAGGAGGGGATGCTCATGGGAGATGCAGTAGAATAATTCAGGAAAAGGAAGGTCTGGACTTAGCAGAGCTTACCCCACAACGGCACAGACTTACAAGTGGTCTTTTTATTCTGCTCAGTCTTTCTGATTGCATAAGGCCTTTGAGTACCTGAGGATTTGTTCAAAGACAAAGCCTTTGAGTGACTTTAAAAGAAGTCCTTCAGTTCAGTCACCTGAACCAGCTTGTTGGACCTTGGCCTCTGGAGAAAAACTCAGTTATGCATGTTGGGTTAGCACAATTGAAGATCAAATAAGGACTACAGTCAGATAACTAGCCCCAGAGCAGCCAGACCTGTCTTCCTTTCTGGCCATCATGTGGAGGTTACACTCAAAAGACTGAATTACTTTAAAGCACAGTACGTCTTCCAGCTGTGACCCCATGCTTAAAACCCCATGCTTAAAACCTATTCAACACCAAGAAAAAAGGAAGCCCATGGGACTATTCACGTGACAAAATCAGAATTTTCTTTTCAGGCTGGAACAGCTTTTTTTCTCACCTCTTTTCCCTTTGTTGGCAGACCTTGGGAAATCTTTGACTACTTAAACCACGTCATTGTTTTTTCATGCCATGAACACAGGGAAGTTTAAGGTTTACCTGGAAATCACTGACTCTCAGTATTGCATCACTGAACATGAAGGAGTTAATGAAAATCTAGGGAAGTGAAAGAACTGGGTTTGCCTCAGAGATAATGTACTAGCAATAGCTGTGCAGGAAAATGGTATGATCTTTCCTTGTATTTTTAAATTGCTTTCAGAAGGGTAACTGTAAAGATGACATGCTGCCTATCAGACTTTTTCTCTCCAGTTTGAATGCAAGGCTTATTCTATCTTTGCTCCTGTTTGCTTTTCTTCGCAAAAAGACAAATCCAATTGGTTTTATAATATGCCTTCTGTGGTTTGCCCAGCCAGGGCTTATTTTCTTTATTACTATATTTGCTATGGCAGAAAAAAAGTTCCTGTTTATAGAGACAGTCTTGAGATCCTAAGGCTTAGACTAGTGATCTCCAAACTTCTTGTTGATCGTGCACCTCTATCAATAACTTTTTGAGCATGCATCCCCATATATATATATTTATTTATAATGTTTATGTATATATATATTACTGAAGTTCTAATATTTTCTCCCTGCAACCCAGTGGATCATCTCACACAACCCCAGGGGCTGTATGCACCTCACTCTAGAGACCAGTGGCTTAAAGGAGCAAATATATGTTCTGGGAGAAAACCAGTACTAAATAAACTCACATTTTTTAACTGGAAGATATTTAGAATTGATTATGTGCCCTAGCTATTTCTCTAGGAATACGGAGAATACAGCCATGGATACAGCTACTGGAGTGATATTCTCATGATCAGAGGAAGCTCCTTATGGTCTCATCACTGGGGAATTACTAGGAAGGTAAGTTTGTCTCTGTTATAAGAGTTTTCAGTTTTAAGACAGTTGTGGTAATTAACACCATTACCATCTGGTAATTTTCCTGAGATATATTTCAAAAGATTGTGTTAAAATGTAGAGTAACAAGAGGTCACTGAATGAAGTGCTTGTTAGGAACAGATATGTCATCTACATTAAAAAGAAAATTCCCCAGATACCTGTCTTGTTAGATGATATTATAATCTTTAGATAAGCTGGATCAGAAATAGCAGTGAATACACACTTTTATTTAAATGTGCTTTCTTGTGTTGAATTAATCACACAATAAAAGAAAAAATTGAATTGAACAAGTTGAATAAAAATAAATTGAATTTCTTCTATGAATGTCTGATGTTAAAATAGAATTTATTTCATATTGACACAATCTTAATGAAAAAGTTAAAATTGTAATAAGAGATGCAGAAATACCCCAAACAATCTATGTATTAAAGCAGTCAAAGTTTTTCTTTGTCTGATCTCTAAAAATAGCAATTTTTCTAATGATTTAGTCAGCAGTGAGAGATTTGCAGATAAGATGCTCAGGTAGCCACTGAAGGGCAGAAGTCAGAGACCTAGGCAACTGGGCTTCTTTTTGGGGGGAGAATGGCCATGCTATCACTTCCTTGGGGAAAACACAGAGTTGGTTTGATATTTGGCTGAATGCTCTGAGGAGGGGATAGCATACTTCTAGCTACGTTTTGTACCAGTGAGAACATGTAACCTACAACTTTTGGAACACCTTGAGCTAAAAGTGTATGCTCCAAGCTTCATGCATGCTGGATCTTTTGATTCCTCAGTACTTTATCTATTTTTACTTGACAGTCTAGGGAACTTGACAAAAAACTGCTATTGCAATAAGAGGAGTCTTTTTCTCATAAATAATGGCCTACATCTTCAGCTGCCATGAGCTGGCACCACAACTCTGATTTGATACCAGGATGTAAAACCATGGGGATTTACTTCCATTTCCTGTAGTTCTACTTAGCATGAGACCTGCTTCTCTTCTGTTCTTAGCATGGTATCTTAGTGGGCCGTTTCTAGGCTGAAGTCCTATCTTTCAAACAAGGAGCTGCCACCCATGTTAGGAAGTGGTCAGGATTATATTAGAAATTTGGGATGTACTAAATTCCCACTCTCTGCTTTTTTTGCTCATGTTGGTCTCTGTGTTAGCTATTTTAGCTATCACTTCCATGTGAGATGGTCCACAATCACTGACAGATCCTGTAGATGGTGATACGCATAATTGAGTGGAATCAGATAGATTTGTTGTGCAGTGCGCCAGATCACTTTTTTTAATGCTACGTTACATGCCCCGTTTGCCTCCAGAGGTGCCCTCTGATGCATGTGCTGAACGCCTAACTTAGCAGCACAGCCTTACTGATGTTTTTCTTGTGCTCTGATCTGAACGCTGCTGAGCTTAGCATCTCTTGCTTTTGAAGCCTAATGCATCCCTTCAGCTGCAGCCCATCTCTGTCATGTATGTCTACCTACCACACATTGTGAATGAGGGGAAATAATTGGCAACTTGGGCAAATCCTCATTTATGTGACCCAAGTTCATCGCTTACCTCTGTGACAGCAAAGCTTCTTTTGCCACATGGAACAACCTTGTACCATTTGTCGTGCAGAACATCCATGAAACCGTGGGACTTGTACTGGCTTATCAGTTCAGAGATGTTTGAGGTGAGCAGAGAGTTGGGGGGAAGACCAATACCATATCCTAGAAGGAAAACCATTACAATCATCTCTCTCTTACTTGTTTGCTTTTTGCTAAAGTATGTTCATTTCAGCTATCCATTACCAGCATGGTAGATCAAGTTGGCTTTCTGTTTCAGCAAGCCAGTTCAAACCTGGATGCTGGCTTACCATGGACTGAGAATGCTGAGATGAGACTTTTTGCTGTGCAAAATAAAGTAGCCTAATACAAACAGGATATGTATATTCAAAATTATTAAGGCCACAAAAGTAATGTGTAAAATTGGAGGTTTGAAAACTTAAGATGAAGGTACTGATAGATGAATAAATCTGTTTTATCTCTAGAAAGAACCTTTTGCATGCCCTTGCCATGGGTTCTTTTTTTTTTACCTTGTTTTAGCAATGCAAAAGGGCCTTAATGTCAAGTAAACAATTCTGTGATCCCTTTACATTTTTAGACCAGTGGATGTGACTTATGGTGTCAGATGTGACGTTTTCTTTTCTTCCTATGCATTTTCTGATGACAAGCTGTGTGCATGTAGATGTATATGGGAGCAGTCTGTATTGCCACACAGCAATTTAAAGCCCAGGGGACTATGCTTTCCATTCATGCAGTTCTGCTCTGGCAGTGACATGGATCTTCAGATAGTAATACAGTTTTCAGCTACTGTGTTGTCTGTTTCCACTTTAAAGTGCTGATGAAGGACCTAGTGTAAGTTAAAATGGATTCAGTAATTCTAATTATGGTCTTTCAATTTGCAGAAACTGGGTTTTGACTTTAGAAAAACAAATACAATTCATGCCTGGAAGACATGAAGTTGCATGCAGAGATGTCCTGCCAACTGCCTGCAGAGATTCCTTTCTGGTCCACTGTGGATTTTCATTTTTCAGTTCAGAATTCAGAATTTCAGACTGTCTCCTTTAAAAATAAAAACAACACAGGAGAAAAGAAAAAAAACCATAAATGGACAGGAGTGGTAAATTTGCCATCCCAGTGGCTTGCTTTTCAATGATGCAGAGTGATGGGGTGATACGAGTACCTACAATGCAACAGTCTCCCTTGCTGCTGATTTTTGTACACTGTGCCTCTATTTTCACCTGAATATATTTGCTGACATTGAAGGAATGGTTTCAGAGAAGGCATAGCTATGGTTCATGAATACCACATTTTCAGCATATTTAAGTGTTTTGCAATTGAGTGCTATGAAGTCCAGTTATATAAAAACATAGAGTCTGGGTTTGTTTTTTTTTTTTTTTTCTGTATTGAAATTCGCTTTACTTGATTCAAAGTTGTGGAAGCTAATGGTTTACTTCAGTAGAGCTGACCTTTCTGAAATGGAAGATTTATCAGGTTACATATGCATGGTGAAACATGCAGCTGCACACACACAAATCCTGCTACAGCCCGAACAGCTCTCTGTGCATCTATCCCCCAGATAACAAAAAGAAGAAAATGGATTGCTTTCAGGTCTCTGGTGTGAATTCAAATGGGAGACGCTGATGAGGTATAGCAAAAAGGAGTGTTCTACAAAATGTCTAGTACTGGTGACTCGTAGCTGAAATGATTAAAATGCTCAGCTTCCCCTGGCCTTCACTTAGCATATTGCCTTCCTCAATCAGGTTTGAACATTTCTGAAGGAGGTTGTTTTAATGTGTGATGGGAGCGGCCAGAGTGATTGCCCTTGGAGGGGAGGAAGGAGGGAGCTTCAATCATTTTCATTGGCCATCTATCACAAAAGTGATTCCTGAAGTCTAATAGCTGCTAATGTGCTCACCCACACTGGAGGCAGCTTCAGACAAGCCCAGCTTCCAGGCTACCTTCTGATCTGTCCTTGCTAATACACCAGGGCTGCAGGAGGCTGTGTACTTGGGTAAGCTCCCTTCTTCAGCTTCAATTACCTACAGATTCAGCGGGAATCTTAAGCTGACCTTTAAAATGGGAACAGTATTTATCTGTTTCAGATGACAGCAAAACTGTAGAACAGCATTTTGAACATATTCCACTGAGCTTTGACCATGTTTAGTGAAAGTGAGCCTACAAAAAGTAAGTCTTATTTCGGGATCTACTTGATTTCTTTATGAGCAGTGAAATGGATGGCGTCTCCTACTTGTTTGGAGACTGACTGTCTCAGCACTTTGAATAGTTCCTATAAAGATCATGGCAACAGACGGTGCATGTGATCTGAAAGTTCAAAAACCACAAAAAAGGGTGAAACCTTAGTTCTGCTTAATCACTGAGAATTTTACCATAATCTTCAAGGGGTCCACAGTTTCACCTGCATATGTTCATTCAGAATACCAAATCATAATAACACAAATGCAACACATGAGAAAGAGAGCAGTATGTTTAAAACTGATTATTACCTTCAATAGCAAAGGGTTTTCCCACAGTTAGAAGCTTGCAGTCAGCATCTATTGATACTTCATAATCTAAGAGTGCTTTATCCATGATGAAGGCATCAAGTTTCTCTGGATCATGCCTGTATTCAACATCAAAGTCAGAAACAGAATCACTTCACAGTCTAAGACTCAGTGATGCTCATTGAACATTTATCTATGCAGTTCTCTGGAAGATTACTAAATGAAAACAGAGGCCAGGGACTGCTATTTCAAATGCAAAACCGATCTATACTTTGAAGAAAGGAATTGTGCATGAAATACAGACTTTGTGCACCTACAGCAGGACAGTGAGGGTAGGACTTATTTTGCTCCCATGAAATATTACTGATCTGAAAGATAAAAAATACTACAATATGTTAGACTTCAACTCAATTGAAGGGTAGCACAAAACTTTCTTGGAAAAAAAAACCACGCTAAAATACTAGTGCTGTCTTGGTTTCCAATTGAGCAAAAATGGTTTCTCCACCTTTCTCTTTGAATATGAGATAAATTAATTTCCTTCACCCAGATCAGCTTTTCTCTATGTTCAGTCTTCATGAACACAGAGGACTGAATTTTCCTCACATCATCATTTATGAATAGCACGCTTGCATAAAATGATGATATAAAAGAACAGTTGCAGTGCCTGTTCTCATCTGATCCAGGGACTGCACCCTCCACTCGTGTCACTTTAAAGGTCCAGGTGTTCTCCTGATGTGAAGTTACATTACTTCCTTGGTTTTGATGGATTCATTCCAGTTTAACCCAAAGGAACCACCATGTATCTTAATTATCATTAAGGTAGGTCTGGGACAATTACATAAAAAGGAAACAACTTCTGGTGAAAAATTCTCAGGCCATCTGTTATGCAACTTCTATGTGTAAAATGAATGAATTATTTCAGGCTTATTATCATCTCTTGTTTCCTGACAGAGTCAATCAGTTGTGTGACCTCAGACTGTTAGGCACAAATGTCTCTGAAACACAGTGGTGCCATGATTCCCTAAAGCAAGAAGATTTGGTGTTCATTACTTTTTACCAATCTAATGCTTCATTTATTCATTTTAATGATAAACACTTTAAGGTTTCTCTCTGAGAACTTTCTCTCCTCCCAGCATGCTGAAGATGCCGAGGAACCTCATTCACAGCTTTTGCTTGGACCACGATGTTATTTTCTGAATGTTTCTCACTGCCTCATGAAGGGCTCCCAAGCACAGAAACCTGCCGGGATTTATATGTTGCCCATGCTTGATGGCACCCTAGCAGTTAGTGCGAAGCAATGCTTCCCCTGGAAACACTCCATCTGGTGCTACTCTAGCTTGCTCTCCAAGTGTCACTCCCTCCAGGTGACTACATGCTTTCTTCTCTATCTGCCACATTCCCTTCAATGACTGTTTTGTGGGATAAGTGACACTGAAAGTGGGAAACCCATCACCATCTCACTGCCGTGCATTCTGGTTGAGGGATCAGATCTGCTGTTGCATGCAGAAGCTCACTTTAGATATGCTATTCCATCTGGCGTTGCAGGAACATTGTACCGTCGCATGTACTCATGCATCTCTGGGAAGCTCTGCCTCACATAGTCTTCTGCACTGCTTTCTCGCACAGTTCCAAAACGAAACCCTTGGGATGGGTGGTGGAGCTGAGGAGATGAAATTACAGATTAGCAGAGTCATTTGCCTCCTTCACATCTGGTATCTTTGTCCTATGTGTGAACAGTTTGTCAGAAATTCTCAGCATTCATAGACCTGCCTCTGATGTTTTCCTGCAGTCAGCTTTCCACATCACAGAAACAGTTTGAAAAGAGTTAGCAGGTGACTGATTAGCCTGTTTGTGTACCCTCAGGATTTTGTGAAAAACATTTCCCTTCAGACACCCTGAACCCCCAAATCTAGGTGTTTAGTTGTATTATTTGTCTTTAAACCAATCAATGTTTCAGGCAGTGTCATAAGAAGACTCTGGGCTTGCTAGGATCCACTTTCTGGGGCTCTGGGAAGGCAGCAAAGGACCCACAATCTGGATTTGTTTTGGCAGAATGTGTTTTATTGACTCCTTAAGGATGACATTTAGTCTTCTGCTGAAGGGTAGCATCACCACTTCATTTCTAGAAGCCTAGACACCATACCACAGACCGCTGCTGTCTTTGCTGACGTTCTCTACAGAGAAACTGAGACTGAAGTGTTGTGGACACCAAAAAGTCTCCCCTGGAAGTGAGGAGGAAGAATACCCCTCAGCATAGCCCAAGCTGTAAGCTTGATTACCAGGCTATACACAGACAATTTTTTCAGTCCTGTGTCCTTTCCTTTTTACAACTGGCTCCACCTTCTGTATTAAAGCCCCGAGTAGTTTGGATGTTCACAAGTTTCACAGATCTCTGTTTCTGGAGTACCCTGTGTCTTTGGAGCATTTAATGATTCATGGGGAAATTCTCAAATTGCAGTGGCGGTGTCAGGCAGTGTCCTCTACCATGCCAAGCACTTCCTTGAGATGGCTGAGTGTTGCCAAGACCATACTAATTGGAAAGCCTTCAGCAATGTACCAGCCTCTAAAAGGTCAAACTTTCAGAGCACAGGAAGCCAAATGAAGCTAAGACTGAAGTAGTCATGCTCTGTTTGCTTCCCAGGAAGCTCACGGTATTCACAGCAGGTTGCAAAGATGATCTCATCATGGCCATGCTCTGCTTTGCAAAGACCAAGCAAAGAGGTATTCTGCTGGTCCGTCTGGCTATCTGCATTATCATCTACATAAAACAGAGTGTAGGGCAACACAAAGCCATACAAAAGACCTTTCCCACTCTTCTCTTCAATGACGCCATGGATAAAGAATATTCCTAGCTTTTTTAAGAATAACAGAGGTAGACTGCAAACAGAGTCATCTAGTTTGGTCTGAAAGGGAACAGAAAAAGGTCTTTTGGATGGTATTTTGATGTCCTGGAAGCTATGAATATACTATATTTCTGGTAATTTTTATCTGGAAAGTGGGCAAGTGCTTTCCACATTGTGGTCTGCTGATCTGGTCCCTGTGTTGCAACCCAGGAATGAGACCTGTGCATAAATGTAAGACTGTGGGCATGGAGGGAGTCTTGGCGTGTTTTTTGAGGTGTTCTGGTCTGGATGATCACAGGACAAGCAGTGCAGGGTGTGACAAGCAGACCTGGCCATAGTGCATGCTGTGCCAGAAGGACTGTGGGTGCAGAGGGAAATGTTCTTGCCTGGAAGTGTGGAATCAGCATTCAAGTGCCAGAAGACATAAATAACAGAGAGTGGTGCTGTGACAATACATCATGGAAACTTCCAGCACAATGCTGTCAACCCAGATCTAAGTCTAGTCTTGAGGCATTGAAGATGACTTGCTTAAAGAATGAGCTTGGAATGGGGTCCATGCACGCTATGTCCCAAGAAGCTAGTCACCACAGTCAGTACTATTTTGGATTTTATTTCTTGGCAGTTTCAGTGGAGAGACCAAAAAAATCACTGAGCCTCAACACTGAAGCATACTGCCACCTTCCAAGTCAACTTAGGTGTTGGTTGTGGTATTTGTGGCCCACCCGGTGATGCCAATTGCAGTGCAACATCTGATCTGCAGATAAAGGCTGCTGATGCCTGACTTCACTGAAAGTTATCCCTCACTCAGACTGTCACCAGTGTCTACATCTAGCTAAATATTTCAGCGTCTATGAGAAAGGCTAGTACAAAAGAGAGTGCTAACTGCACCTCCATGCAATTTTCTGTCCCAAATGCTTTACTGAGGACTGTTCATGCTTTGCTTTGCGTTGGGCACATTGTCAAATTTCACCACAAATGATGACAACATTAGATAAAAAGTCCATCTGGCTTAATATCCTGTCTCTAGCAACACCATATGTCTGGTGGGAAGTCTTGGAAAGTCTCTGTAGGGAAGTTATGTAGTAATCCTTTGCATCCTATGCTCTTCCTGTTTCTGGTAATCTATGCTTTTTCTTAAGCATAATTATGTGTCTGCAACTTTGTATTTGATAACTCCTAACTCCTTTTGTGAAGGAGTGTTTTAATCCCCTATGTCTTTTGGGACTTCTATTTTCTTCTTACTGCTGCTTATCCACATGAGGAAAGGGTTTGCTTGCACCTGTATAAATAGTGGATTAACAATGCAAAATGCTGCCAAAAGGAGATAATGGACTACCTGCACTATCTTCACTGCTAATCTACTAAGACTGCTAAGGGTTAATTGCTTCAACAGAAGGTAAAAACTTCAGGATGGAAACAAGACTCATCAGTTGTCATTGCTGCTTTCTTACTTTCTGTAGTACTCTCCTGGGAAGACTCTGTGAAAAGATGGAAACCACAAATATCTGTGTCCCCAAAGGATAGGTAAATGTCACAGTCTTCCTGTGAGTCTTGCCTTATTAGTTATCTCTTTTTATATTTCTCTTTTCTGTTTCTCATGCTCTGTTTCTTTTGTGTTTCTTGTATTTTAAGAGTCCTACATTGAAAAAGTATTTATCTTTTCTTTAAACCAGTAATAGAATCCTAATGCTTAGGGATTCAGAGAAATCATGAACTCTGAAAAATCAGCATTTGAAGAACCACAATTTGAAGAATCAAGACTAGCTTATGGTGATTTGGGAGACACAGTTACTTGCTTTTTTATCAGTAATAGCAAATATAAAAGCTATCTTACTGAGAAGAAATAGCTGTCCAAATTATAGGCATTTCTAGTATGTGGAGGCTACACTTCTGTGTATACTTTACTGTGTTTTTTCATTCAAAGCTCAGTTAGTGTGAAAGGTAAATAACCATCACAAAGCAGGTAATGGGCACTAAGAACTGTTCACACTTTTTGTATTCATAGAGTGCCTGGAGATTTGCTGGTAACTTGAGTATGATTAAAAATAAATGAATGCAATAGCTGCAGATCCATCTCCAGACATGAGCTTTCTTGGCATTCAGCTCAGATAACCTTACAAGGTCCCTCCAAAGTCAGGCATCTATGGCTGTAAGAAATCAAAAGGACAAGGTTTGGTTTGACCTAGAGAGAGGCTTTCAGGGGGCAATGAAGTCCTGGTTTGACATTGAATAAGATGTAAAGATAGTTATGGGTACAGATGACATATCCCTCTTTACTTAACTCTAACTGCCAGACCTCCCTTTTGAAGACCTGGGAAATTAGTTGTTTTTTTTTAAAAGGGCCACTGCTCCTGAATATAATTGCTCCTCAGCCAGTAGACCAACTCTGTACTCCCAAGCAGCCTCTCCCATGCAGTGCACAGGAGCTAAGCGTTGCTGCTGTGTGTGTGGCTCGTTAGTGCTTAGCAGGTAACCAGCCCTTTGAATGTTAGCTGGCAAGGCCACCACAGCGAACTGCAAACTGCACTGGCCATGCTGCACAGTGGGAGAAGTTGGGGAGAGCCAACAGTCTGGGCAATGTAACAGTGTGTATATGACTATATCAATGGAGAAGTTAAAAGACAATGTTTTTCAGGGGTTAGAAAGCTGTTTAGTGTTGCCGGTTAGTGGCTCTTCCAAAAAGGGAAAGGGTCTAGTAGTTAACAATATCATTTTTGCAGCTCAAACACTGGAGATTAGGGATTTCATATTAGTAAACTGAGTTTTATATCTGAAGCACTGGTGTATACCATGAATGGCCATACTACTTAGGTGCATCCCAAAGTTTTAGAACCATCTCCCCAGTCTACTGTGAGAAAGCTGTTGCACCTGCTGACCTCCCATTTGGATCTGGATTGGTACATGTGGCAAACCCAAGAGATGGTCATGAAAGCCCTTGCAGCAGAGGGAGGTAGTGCCAGAGGGGGCTGAGCACTTGTCATCTTGAATCAGTACTCTGACTTCACAAGTTCAGGGCTGTGGAATGCCAAGACCAGAGGATTTTGCTGCATAGGTCAGGGACAGATGGTTCAGGAAGATGACCCACCTTCTGTGAAGATAGAGGTCATGGGAGGGATGACAAGGAAATGCTGCTGTGAAGTGCAGGATGGAGGTGCAGGAGAAAGACTGAAGAACTTTGGAAGTGAGTACACTTTCTGGAATTGAGGTACCACTGCTGTCCCTGTGACCTCTAAGGACAATATCTACTGTGGGTTGCATGGGCTGTGCTGGCATTTCCAAGAACAGGTCTCACTGTTTAAGAAAACATACCATGGGTAAGAAAACAAACAAGGGATGTTTTCTTACACTGTGTAATAAAACAAGGAGTAATGTGAATGCCTCCAAGTGCCAGAGAGATGAAATGGTTGTTGGGTCACTTGAGCACTGAGACAAGGAGGTTATGTAGTGTTTAAGGAAAGTCAAGAGCTCTACAGAACATCCAGCTTTTCTGACAGCACCAGGAAAAGCTTTGGGACTTCTCAGAGCCTGATGTACCTTTTATAGCATTGTACTACTAGACAAATGATGTTTGTGCTGCTTACTGCCAAAAGCAAATACTGTAGCTACCAGTTCCCTTGGCTTGGCACCTTCTAAATCTTCTTGGTTTCTGTCTTCTGTTGTTAAAACATCTGCTAAGTGGGAAGTGCAGAATTCGTTTTATTTGGGAAGATGTTGAGGAGAATTGGGCATGTGCATACATCTATGGCTTGGGGTGCCAATTATGCATGAAAATACCAATGTGATAAAACCACAGGAGCAGAAACAGGAAAATAAAATC